CCGGGGCGCGATGGCGGCCACCAAGCGGGTGCTGTACGTGGGTGAGTGGCGGGGCCGGGGCAGCCCCCGGGGGCCGCCGGCGGTGCCCGGTGACCGCTGACCGCCCCGCAGGCGGGCTGGCCGAGGAGGTGGACGAGAAGGTTCTGCACGCCGCCTTCATCCCCTTCGGAGACATCACCGACATCCAGATCCCGCTGGATTACGAGACGGGTGCGTGCTCGGGGGGCCGGAGCATTCCCGGGGTGCGGATTGGGGCCGGAGCATCCTCGGGGTGCGGATCGGGATGGCAGCGATGTTCTCGGGAATCGGATTGGGGTGGGAGCAGTGTTTCCCGGGATGGGGACGGGATGGGATTCCCGGGGTGCGGATTGGGGTGGGAGCGATGTTCCCGGAATTCGGATTGGGGTGGGAGCGATGTTCCCGGAATTCGGATCGGGATGGGAGCGGTGTTCCCAGGATGGGGACGGGATGGGATCCGCGGGATGCGGATCGGGGTGGGAGCGGTGTTCCCGGGATTCGGATTGGGGTGGGAGCGGTGTTCCCGGAATTCGGATTGGGGTGGGAGCGGTGTTCCCGGGATGGGAACGGGATAGGATCCCCGGAGTGCGGGTCGGAGTGGTAGCTGGATTCCCGGGGTTCTTACTGGGGTGAGAGCGGTGTTCCCGGGATTCGGATCGGGGTGGGAGCGGTGTTCCCGGAATTCGGATTGGGATGGGAGCGGTGTCCCAGGATGGGGACGGGATGGGATCCGCGGGATGCGGATCGGGGTGGGAGCGGTGTTCCCGGGGTGCGGATTGGAGTGGGAGCAGTGTTCCCGGAATTCGGATTGGCGTGGGAGTAATGTTCCCGGGATTCGGATCGGGGTGGGAGCAGTGTTTCCCGGGATGGGGACGGGATGGAACCCCCGGGGTGTGGGTTGGGGTGGCAGCGGTGTTCCACAGGGCACGGATCGGGATGGGAGCGGTGTTTCCCGGGGTGCGGATTGGGGTGGGAGCGATGTTTCCCGAAATTCGGATTGGGGTGGCACCAGCATTCCCGGGATGGGATCTCCGGGGCGCGGATCGGGGTGAGAGCGATGTTCCTGAGGTTTGTACTGGGGTGGGAGAGATGTTCCCGCGATGCAGACGGGTTGGAATCCCCGTGTAGAATCCCCCTGACTCTCCCCTTCCCTCCCTCCAGAAAAGCACCGGGGATTCGCCTTTGTGGAGTTCGAGCTGGCAGAGGTGAGCACCCACCAAATGCTTGAGCCTTTTGGGGTTTTTGCTCCCCTTTGGGATGGATCCTTTTCCCGTCGGAGGCAGTCTAAGAAATCGGGTGTGGGTTACCCACCACGGCATTAAGACTCTGCTCCTCCACCTTCCCCCTTTTCCCATTTTCTTTTGGGTTGAAATTCCCACTTTTCCCATTTCCAAACTGCTYCCCAGCCACCATCCCTGGGTGGGTTTCTTGGCTTTATGGCCACCATGGGCTGTCACGTATTTTTCCTTTTATAATCTGACCTGGGCTTTGTGCACAAACCTCACCTCCTCTCCCAAATGCTCATGGCAGCAATAAAACATCCTAAATACAAGGGGTTTACTGGCCTTTGGAAAATGAGACCCATGTGGGTGGGATTTGGATATGGCTTTTACAAAATCCATCAGTTCAGACATCCCTGGGATAGAGGAGCTTTGAGAAAACCTTTATAATGAGGTTTATAATAATCATCTTTATAATGAGCTGCTGGGACATGGCTGTGCTGAGAAGAAACGTTAATAATGGTTTTATTTTGTTTTTTTTTTTTTTTGGCAGGATGCAGCAGCAGCTATTGACAACATGGTATGGGCCCTGTTCCCACTCCTGTTCCCATTCCTGTTCCCACTCCTGCTCCCTGTTCCATGGGATTTGAGGTTCTGGGCTGCAGAGAGAACACAAACTGTGCCATCTGCAGGGCTTTGGGGGGGCACGGTGGGTTTTTACCTTTTGGGGGGGCTTTGTTGTGCGTTTTTTCCCCCTCTCTCCAGAACGAGTCCGAGCTCTTTGGCCGCACAATCCGGGTGAACCTGGCCAAACCCATGAGGATTAAAGAAGGATCATCCAGGCCTGGTGAGCTGGGGTTGGAGAGGGGAAGAACATTCTGGGGAGGGGGAGAACATCCCTGGGAGGGGAAGAACATTCTGGGGAGGGGAAAAACATCCCTGGATGGGGGAGAACATCCCTGGGTAAGGGAGAACATTCTGGAGAGGAGGAGAACATTCTGGGGTGTGGGAGAACATTCCTGAGAGGGGGAGAACATTCTGGTGTGTGGGAGAACATTCTGGGGTGTGGGAGAACATTCCTGAGAGGGGGAGAACATTCTGGAGAGGGGGAGAACATCCCTGGGTGCAGGAGAACATTCCTGGGTGGGGGAGAGCATTCCTGGGTGAAGGTGAACATCCCTGAGAGGGGGAAAACATCCCTGAGAGGGGGAAAACATCCCTGGATGAGTAAAAATATCTCTGTTTGAGGGAGAACATCCCTGGGAGGGGGAGAACATGCCTAGGGATGCTCAGAGCTCCTTCAGATCAATTCCTGTGCTCTGACCTTTCCTTTTTGTGGCTGCAGTCTGGTCAGATGATGAATGGCTGAAGAAGTTTTCAGGGAAGACTTTGGAGGAGAACAAGGAGGAGGGAGGAGGAGAAGCCCCCAAAGCAGAGGCGCAGGAGGTGGGAAAAACAACCAGAAAAAATCAGAGTGTAATGCCTCTCCAGGCAGAAATGTCACCTCAACTTGGCTTTTTATTCTTTTCCTGCTCAGGATGAACCTCCTGCCAAGAAATCCCGGGTCAACCCGCAGGTTTTCATGGACATCAAGATTGGGAACAAACCGGCGGGGCGGCTGCGGATCCTGCTGCGCTCCGACGTGGTGCCCATGACCGCGGGTGAGGAGCGAGGAAAAAGCTCAACCTCCCCTCCTGGTGACTCCCAGGGCTGCCACAACTCTCAATTCCACCCTTTCACCCCCMAAAAAACAGAGAATTTCCGCTGTCTCTGCACCCACGAGAAAGGGTTTGGCTTCAAAGGCAGCAGCTTCCACCGGGTCATCCCCCAGTTCATGTGCCAGGCTGGGGATTTCACCAACCACAACGGCACCGGTGGCAAATCCATCTAYGGCAAGAAATTTGATGATGAAAACTTCATTCTCAAGCACACAGGGCCAGGTAAAACCATCTGCAGGCAGGGACTGGAGAGAAAATGTCTCAGCATCGTGCAGGGACCAAATTTGGGTTGTTTTGGCCATGTTGATAGCAGCAGCCCTGAATTATAATTGTAATTATAATAGTAATTATAATWGTAATTATAATAGTAATTATAATTGTAATTATAATTGTAATTTTAATTGTAATTTTAATTGTAATAATAATTATTATAAG